TTTTCAGGTATATACAGCTCTGTGGGTAAATGTCATTATTTTTCAGGTATATACAACACTGTGAGTAAATATCATTATTTTTCAGGTATATACAACACTGCGAGTCATTATCGTTTAACGAAATCTGTGCTGAAGAACTATAACTCAATTGTTCGCCCAACACATAATATATCTACCGTTACCACGGTTACCATGCAACTATTTGTATCACAAATAGTAGAAATGGTGAGTACGCAAACTATTCATTGGTAGAACAAATATAACCGTTTAAATATATGTATGTTCAGTGTTTGTGGCATTGTGTCACTGGTATATCACGAATATTATTAGTTCCGTGGTGCTGTTGTTGTTCGGGTTGGACATGAAATGTTTAGTCTGAACGCCGCATCGTCTTTTGCATATTTCGCATTTATTGGCTTATCAATATAAAACACTGAGGAAAATACTAATAAATAGTTGAATACTTTTCACCTTGGGAGGCTGTCTGTTTGCCACGATAACACGTTTTTGGAAAGTTTATAACGTGTCTACGAGGTATGTATCGTACGCAACGAGATAGTAGTGACTAATATTACCTGTTCTCGGGATATCGTATATATAGTTTACTTTCTCTTGTTAGGACGAGCGAATTCAGACTTTAAAGATCAATAGTTGGCTGACGTTGGTAAGTACACATTGTTAATGAGTCTTTAATTATTATCATGACACTAATTAGTTGATGGTCTATGTCAATAGTATGTTGTTTGCGGTCGTTGGCAATTTCGTGGGGTGGGAAAGGTGTGGGTTGGAGGTATCAAACTGAAAATTTAAGTTAAGACAGTAATTAAAAGATAAACATGATAAATATGCATGATGTGTAACTTGATGATATCGATTTAGCCGAGTTGTGTCTGAAATATGTGATGTAGCATTCATCCCCATAGATTACACTGACACTTGTACGTGTATGACATATATATACTGTGTGAGACAATTAGATGAAAGTTTTCCCAACATACATTGCATGCTTTTACTGATAGTACAATGTCTTGTTTTATATGGAACGTACCATTATATATAATCGAATGGTCACTGCTACCGAATCATTAACAACAAGAAACATTAACTTGAAATGAATGCAATTTCTGACTTATCTTTATTATGCGGGAGCTAAAATGCTTCATTCGCAATACTGTATGTCGGTATACAGATAGAGAAGTAATTGCTGTTTTCAATGTATTTCCAAAGTTGACACATTTCATTAAAGTTTTACCACATATGTCTAACTGCTATTATAAATCTTCTACTAGAATTAAAGCTTTTTATGACATTACAATCAAAAAAATTTCCCCCAATGTACAATTGTTATCAGTTGTTCGATACTCTTATTTTTAAGACCATAACTGTACTGTGTAATTTTGCATGTAGAATCCAAAACTGGATAAAGATATCCATATAGTGTGTAGAGTCATCTGTGACGTCACATAGGGTGACATAAACCATTGAAACGGAACAACTTTCAATCATTGTATTTTAAGACTACACGTGACGTGTTGAATGATTTCACTCGTAAAGGATGTCATTAAGAATGCCCGGACTGTATAACACATCAAGTATGCAGCAGCGCAAGTGTTATGGGACATGTCCTATTTCTATTTTAAGCAGTTATTAGAACAATCATTACGATTCTTTGTTACTGATCACATTCATTAAAGCAGAAATAGCAATAAGTGAATTTACGTTCACTGAGAGAACTCGCGTCTTGGGTGAAAGGCGCAGACTGAACGTCTGCCACTGAAGTTGAATGATTACATTTTGAAATTCAATTTCATTTTCATAGCTCAGTTTCCAAACTACGATTTAAGTCGCAATGTAATATCTTTTTACCAATGTAATTTTACATGTTTCGTTATGGTGTATATGTTTGTTTGTCTCGTCCTTTTGTATATTAGAAGTGACGTTCATGTCAGCTACTGTTTGTTTGTTTATTTTGTAATTCTTTTACCTGCTTCTAGAAATTAATTACTCAATGCAGGTTCCATACATGCCAGTATACTATTGTCAGCGGTTTACAATAATGTATATACAGTTTAAACTAGTGCCAATTGTGGGGTTCATTTCAAAACATCAACTCGTGCTATGCAATTATGTGACTATATTAATAATATTTTCAGGAATGGTTAGATGAATATATAAAATGGAATGTCAATGAATATAATGGAATAGATAACGTTAAATTACCGTCACATTCACTATGGTTACCAGACATAGTACTGTACGAAAAGTAAGTACGTGAATAATTGATATAGCACCAATAAATCCTGTGACTTTAACATTCGTACAGCGGTGAAGGGTGTACATATGACAAAATATACACTGAATGCATAACTATTCCCATAACACGCTTTATCATGTGACCATATGCATGGTATATTCACATTGGTGATGTTTAGTGTGAAAGGGTCGTGTCAAATGACAATTAATAAATCTGATTGTAGTGTAAACTGTCAGCTTAACAACGCTACAGTAAAGATACCATTTTAGCAGATTTTTCATTGCTTGTTTTGTAAAACCTGTCTGAACATAAATACTCGTACATAAATAAATTGTGCAAAGTGATGGCTTCCTTGATTACTTATGTATGTTGCTATCACCACATCAGTAATATATGTATATATATATAGGAAGAGAGATAACTAGTCTACTCAAACACAAACTGATCGATTAGTCATTTCGCTTGCTTCACGAGTATGATCCATTACACATTTTGATTGTATTGCCATGGCAACGCTTCCGTTGATCTTTTAATATCAAGTTTGACGAAATGTATGCATGGTAACGCCTGTGTGATGGATTTCAGATAGTAATTGTTCTAATAATATGCAATCAAATACATTACAGTATCGCGTTGTCTGTAGTCATTCCGATTCAAAGATACTGTATGTGCTGAGATAAGGGCGAATACAAAATCACAAATAATATCGGAAATTAGAATCACTCACAAATGTATAAAAATGTGCTTTGAAAGGACGCCGACATTGGGGAGTGAAAGTGTTACACATTACCATCGAATGGGGGTATAACGCAGCTCTCCAAAAACAAAGGCCAATATATTGTAAAATATTTCACACACAAATGTGGCAGACTTTCTACCTCTGTGCATGACAGAAGTAGATGTCGGGCCAAGGGTTTTCTATTGTCATCCATGTAACTCTAGTTTTAAAAAAAAACAAAAAAACTTTGTGTTGTTTTGTGTTGTTACAGTGCAGCCAACTACTACGATAACTTTATGAAGGACCGTATCGTTGTTGTCTATCATACTGGTGACGTCATGTGGGCGGCGCCTGTCATCTTCCAAAGTCAGTGTCAGATTGACGTCACGTATTTTCCGTTTGATAAACAAGAATGTAAATTAAAGTTTGGTCCATGGCAACACGACGGGACAGAAGTCACAATAACGGGAAAAGGTAGCGTATTCCTGTATTAGAATAATAATAATAATAATAATAATAATAATAATAATAATAATAATAATAATAATAATAATAATAATAATAATAATAATAATAATAATAATAATAATAATACAATGAAAGACACAGAAAGATCAATTTGAATACTAATATTAATTTTTATTTATAAAAATGTATATTTATAAAACGTTTATAACGACCAAGCCTTTATGTCCTCGCATGTATTTGTACTTCGATTGACCCACCAACAGTTACTTGATTAGCATGCTAATACTGGGTTATTATGAACCTGGTTTAACTTCTGGAGACGTATGTCAATGTGTTTAATCGATCTCGATATCAGTTACTGACAGTAAAGTTGTAAGATGTTCAAATGAATTTTATTAAATCTAATACACGCCGAGGACAATACCTAGATCTTTGTCAACACGACTTAATGCACGTAGATGTATATCTGATCTTTGTTTCTTAGATTAATGCATCGATACTATTTATATGTGTTTTAACGATTTATCCGACCCCACCACCCCACCATTTCATTTAGCATTTTTAGGAGTCTCCATCATGCCTACAAATAATTCATGTCTGTGGTGATCCCAAATTTCAGAACCACATGTTAAAATAAAAAAGCATATTATGTGAAGTATGTTTAATCGTTGCGATTTGTTCATGCGTTCACACTAACCCATTAACGACCTCTTACGTTGTGCAACTTTTGTTAGTAGCGTGAGCCGCTGAACCCGATCAATTTAACCCGATTGGAAAACAATACATTCATATATTTTGCCTTTTAGCAATCCAGAAAGTAATTGAAATATTTATATTTCTATTCGATACTTTCTATTCGATATCACAGAGAAACTTTTAATACACATTAAACTCTACACATATAAAGTCATGATATCGACATCCGAGACTCGCCCGGATTAACGGGAGATTCATTTGACTGATTACATGATTTCTATTTTGACACTCAGCAGCTGGTCTATTCTCACAGCGCCAACTCTATTTCCGGTTAGTAGCAAAAACAATTTATAGCAGGGGTGACACTACTTTAACACTCACGAACGCGTGCATTCCCACAGCGCGAATTTCATTTCTAACTTATAGCACAAACCATGTAGACAGGGGTGGTACTACTTTAACACTCACCAACGCGTGCATTCCCACAGCGCGAATTTCATTTGTAACTTATAGCACAAACCATGTAGACAGGGGTGGTACTACTTTAACACTCACCAACGCGTGCATTCCCACAGCGCGAATTTCATTTGTAACTTATAGCACAAACCATTTATAACAGGGGTGGTACTATTCTGACATTCAACAGCTGCTCTGTGCCCTCAGTATCAACAATATTTCACAATTTTAGCACAAATCATTTATAACCGGCAATATTCTGATACTCGGCGGTCTCGTGTGGGTGTGCGTACTGAAAAAAACGACAACGTCAATTTTAGTGGTTTCGATGAAAGTTGAAATTACACATGAGTCGCCATGGATAGAACAGAACAACCTCGATGTTTTCGTCAAATTAAGGTCTCGTAAAAAATGTTTCTGAACAAATTGGACGGTGATGTGAGCTTTTTTTAGTCTGCTATAATATTTGACGGTGTACAACTTTTTAAAGTTCAATCAATTCTGCAACAGTGGGTACTATGTAGTAGCGAAATAAGTAAAGCTACCTAAAGGCCGGTCGTCGCACAGGTCGGTCATCTGCCTTCCAATCCCCGACTGACCTCTTTAAGGTTTGGGATTTTTTTTCTTTTTCTGTGATTCCAAACGGAAGTATCTCCCACGATAGTTATGCATTGTGGATTGCTTAAGTTAACCGTTCATGCTTTCTTAAATAGGCGATGTCACAGTGTTTACCAGTGACGGTGAATGGGACATGGAATACATGGCATCTAGAAGCAACATTGAATTCTACCCGGATGCCCCTGGCATACCGTATACTGACGTCACGTACACTATTCATCTGAGGCGGCGCCCCATATTCTATTTCTTCAATTTGATCACGCCATGTGTGCTATTGGCGGTGGTTACTTTGTTGATGTTCTTCGTGCCAGCTGAAGCCAATGAGAAAATAACTTTAGGAATAACTGTGCTATTATCACTTACCGTGTTTCTGCTGTTATTGGCTGACGTAATGCCACCATCCAGCGAAGTCCCTCTAATTGGTGAGCAATCAAATGAAATTTATATATCCATGGTGTATACATGTATTTATGTCCGTTAATTATTTTTAAAATAAATAGGTTTCTATTTTTCTTCTTGTTATGTTTGTCATCCGAAGTTAAATAGTATGAAGTTATTCATCGACCGAATCGCACGGTTTCGTTAAGCCGGCCATTCATAACCGTCAACGAACCCGTGCGTGATCGTGTTAGGAAAAGCTGTATTTCACTGCAGTTAAATTGAGTCATTTGATTGGATGCGCCAAGAAGCTGGCGCTACCAATCAGCAATGCTGAAGATCCGGGGGGGGGGGTCATCACAGATTAAAATAATGACGGCGTGTAGGCTCTGCGCTGATTCACCCGGAGTCAAGAACAGAAGGCCTGTGTTCGTTGACACGTTTCCAATTTTTGTTATTCCAACGTTGAAAATCGTTTGTGGACAAGTGAATGAAGACTATGGAATGTTTGAATATTTCTGCAAACCGTGTTTTAGTAAACTGACAAAACTGTCGAAACAGATTCTTTTGATGGTCAGTAAGCTCGTTCACAGAGAAAAACTAGCAACACGTTGATTTCTATATTCAACCGAGCTAGCGCTGCGATTTTACCAAGTAATATGTCGTTTATATCGTATGTTCTGATTGGGTAAATCAAATGAGCCCAAGTGAATCTTATAATCGTTTGAGGGCGTGCGACATACAGTAAAACGTTGTGAAATCTGCTAAGGGTTAATGTTGAGGCTTCGGCCGAATAATTGTCCCTTGGCTGGCGAAGATGGAAGTTATTACGAGGATACCTCAAAGTATGCGCGAAGACAGTAGAGTGAGAGTATCGACCGACGGGCGTACTGTCTGAGTGTATACTTTGAGGTTTCCTCGTAATAACCTTATTATTATACATCTTTTCCTTCCAAGGATACATCATGGAATGCCGAAATCAAAAAGTTTAGAACAGAATCAGCGAAATTCTTTGTGTGGAGTCCGGTCAAACCCAGATGCCAGACATGTTTGTTCTTATTATTAGAGAACGCTAACGCACGTAGTCATTTCATATTTGTAATTCACATTTCCTTATATGGTAGGATGAAAATACCCTGTAAAAGACATCAACATTATGGCACGCTGTAACTTACGGCGTTACGGTGACAGGTGTATAATAATGTCTTCTATGTCAATATTTATTGTCATAGAGAAATGTTTATTTAATGTGTATTGGTGAACACTCAACCCTTACTGTGCTGTCGAAGAGTTCCAGACATTCATATATTCTGCTTGTCTTTACAGGTCAGTACTACGCCATGACAATGGTAATGGTAACGATGTCACTGGGTATGTCTGTGGCAGTTTTACACGTACACTATAAAGGTACACAGCAGGGCTCCCCAGTTCCACAGTGGACACGCAAGTACATATTGAAATACCTCGCCTCCGCCTTACGCATGGAATTAGGTGAAATTACGTCATCTGACCGAGACTACCTTGACATAAAGTGCAGCTGTAACAGTTCAGATTCTCACAACGTATTGGATATAAAGCAGCTCACCAGTCGTCGTACGAAACGAAATGGAACCGTTAAAGGTGGTGGCAGTGGACACGAAACAAGGAATCGGTGTAACCCTAAAGATGAACATGTGTTGTTTCATTTGTTACTTGAATTCAAAAAAGTGGTTTCATATTACGATGATAGAAATCATGATAATATTATACAAAAAGAATGGAAACATGTTGCCATGGTGATGGATAGACTTTTTATGATCGTTTACATTGCAGGGACACTGATTCTTGTGTTATTCGTTGTATGTCAAATTGGGAAGTAACTAAATTTTACTTAGCGAGTAAATCAAGGATTCTATTACATACCGATTAAAGGGGGATGATCGTTGCAACAGCGTGTATTCGACAATGGTCCTCTTTATTTACATAAAATTGCGCCCTTGATCACGAACTTCATTAAGTTTTTCATTTTGTTTTATATAATATTGTAGTATATGATAATATATCTTGCATTAGTGAGATTGAGAAACAAACCATGGTGTTACTTGTCATAATTCCCTACTGTAAACCTAGAAACAGCAGTTCTGAACGTTTCAGTTTGTTGATGAAAGAGTGGCGTTATTTTAAATCAGTAAAGTAAGTGTGGTCATTATTTCTGAGTGGCCAGTGTCAACAGATAGTACAGAATAGGGATTGTTTTGTTGATGGGGAATTTATTTGGCCTTGCTAGTAATTTAAATTAAATTACAACAGCCTTTGTAAGTAGCTAGTACATGTAATATCGAGTTTCTCGTGGTGTTCCCTACACACATATATTTATTTGAGCTTATTATATAGTTATATCTCATTATATCTAAATATTGCAGAATACTTGGCTCACTTAAAATGTATTTTCACGAAAATATAATGCAGTGATAATACTTTATTG